TTTCATGTCATTAGCACCTCTAGTAATATATTTACTGAGAAAAATGGTGATGTGTTCAATACTTATTTTACCCGCTGTACATACATGCCTACATTCATAAATATTGTCAGTATATACACACAGACATATAGACACACTCCGTGACCAGTCAGAACCCCACTAGATCAGAACACCTGTTTGTGAGCAGTTTTGAACATGCGTGTATATACAAGATTTCTCCAATGGAATATTTAATAGTGACTGTGGAGGACCGAAGACCCAACCCCCAAGACACGTGGCAGACGAGCAGCTTCTACTGTAATCCTGACATCTCTCCTGCAGGCGGGGGTGGGTGGGGACACATGGAACGGACTCTCAGGTTCAGCCTGGTTTCTACTTTCAACAAGACAGTGGATCTTCTGACGTCACGTCAGGAGGGAGAACTCCTCCTGTTTCCTCCGTCTGTCCCCACGCTGTGCAGAGGACCGCCAGGTTCAGGGAGCTGAGAGGACCACCAGGGTCATGGGTCAGAGAGGACCACCAGGGTCAGGGAGCAGAGGATCATCTGCTTTGTCTGCTTCTTAGCTTGAGAWGGAAAGAAGACGAGGACATTGGTGAACATTGGAGGATGTTGGAGGACAGTGGTGGACATTGGAGGACGTTGGAGGATCTTGGAGGACATTGCAGGACGTTGGAGGACATTGGTGGAAATTGGAGGGCATTGGTGAACGTTGGAGGATGTTGGAGGACGTTGGAGGACATTGGTGGACATTGAAGGATGTTGGAGGATATTGATGGACATTGGAGGACACTGGAGGACATTGGTGAATGTTGGTGGACATTGGAGGATGTTGGAGGACGTTGGAGGATATTGGTGGACACTGGAGGACATTGGTGAACAATGGAGGACATTGGAGGACATTGGTGAACGTTAGAGAATCTTGGAGGACATTGGAAGATGTTGGTGAACGTTAGAGGATCTTGGAGGACATTGGAGAACGTTGGTGGACAGTGGAGGACATTGGTGGACAATGGAGGACATTGGAGGATGTTGGTGAACGTAAGAGAATCTTGGAGGACAGTGGAGAACATTGGTGGACATTGGAGGACGTTGGAGGACATTGGTGAATGTTGGAGAATGTTGGAGGGTGTTGGAGGACGTTGGTGGACATTCACCTGCTCATTAGGACCATTCAAGCTCCTTGAAGCGCCCATCATCCTATTTTAACTACTACTTTCTAGGAGTGGACCATTTTCTGACAGGAAGGAGAAGAACCAATCAGACACGCCCACAAAGTTCTGACCAATCAGACGCTGCATTGCTGTAGACGAGGAGTCAGCGGGGGACAGGAGACAGAAGACTGTAAACCAGACAGAAGAATCAGTTTTCAGGGTCCAGCTCCATTTTATTTTGTTTCTAAAGGTGTTAAAATCTCAAGAAACCTCAAGAAAAATAACTTTTTTTTCTTTTTACACTTTCACAAAAAATGTTCCTGTGAGCTTTGGCTTCTCAGCGTCAAAATAAATAAAATAAAGTTGGAAATCTGAAATAATCCATCTTTTCAGTCGTTCAAATCTTTCTTTTTAAATCAAGTTTTAAAAATATAAAGGTCTATAATTTACATTAACTATTTATTTATTTATTTAACTTATTTTTTAAATTAAAGCAGCTGAAACACCAGAGGCACTAAATAAACTGAATAAATGAACGACAAGTTTTTTTTTACTGCTAAAGGATAAACAACGATCTAAAATCAACATGTAAATGTAGGGTAATTTAAATGTTTAGAATTCTGAACTAGATAAT